CTTCCCCTTGAAAATGATTCAATTAATCATAAAGGGTCCGGGTTCCCTGGAAAAATTTCGATTTCTAGATGGCGGGAGATGAGCTTACCTGACTTCTGAAATGTCTTTTAATGACTTTTAAAGTCCTTCAAAATTCAAGGTTTTCCCCTCTTTAAAAAGGTCAGGTATATTTTTCATTTTATGTGTGTATACATACATAAACAAATGAGTAGTTGCATGCGTATTCTTTTTTCCATGAATCGATAAATCCCAAAAAGAAAGGGTGGTCCGGGGTTCTTCCCCGGGAAAATTCTAATTCCTAGATGGCGGGAATTGAGCTTTCCCGACATTTGAAGTGTGTTTTAATGAATTTTATGTTCTTCAAAATTCTAATTTTCTAATATCAAAAAAAAAAAAAAAAATCAGCTCACAAGTCCTGAAAAGGTAGGTCTAGAATCCTTTTCTTTTTCCCCCTTTTTTTTTTTTTTTGTTGCACAAGGGAGGGGTCAGGACCATGATCGATATATATCCCCTCCTCCCAGATCCGCCAATGTGAACTGCGAGAAAATGTAACTCGGTCGGGTACTGGATAAACATTCTCTTTCCCATCCTTCTCCTTCTTCCCTCCTTTTTTTACATTTCCGATCATACAAAAGTCTCCAGACATTATATATTTTTCGCCAAAAAGTGGGGGGGACCCGGGGCCCCCCGCTTCCGCCGCCGATACATCGGCACAACGAACGAGGAACAACGGTAAGTACATGGAGAGGCCTAGGTCCAATATCCACCACTAAATTATTACAAAATGGGTAATTTCGTTGCGGCACATGTTTGCTGATGTTTCAGCATGTAGGCCTAGGACATAAACAAGGACTTTGAAAGTTTGCATGTTAACAAGTTTTAAATGAACATTTTAAATGTTCCTTTTTTTTGTGAATAAATAAACGCTTTTGATTGATTGTTTGACTGATTGATTGATTGATTGATTGATTGACTGATTGAGTAGAGAATCTTTTGAGTATGTTGTTGTCATGTAAAATGTTAAAAGTAATTAATGTGAAGTTCGCTTTTGGCATATTTTTGGCCCATGCCTAAAAAGTAAATAAAAATAAAATAAATAATAAATAACATTAATGGAGGTTTATTTTAATAGTCTTTAATATAAAAAAACTTCTCAACTGCCAGCTCATATCAATACAAATCATAACCAGACAGAAGTTTATTTTACTATCATTGAAATATTCAATCATTTGAATAAATTAATTAGCATCGCTATCCTCACTATGCTTTTGTTGTTAACAAGTGGAATATGAACTGAAAAAATGAGGTGGTTATACACAACAGAAATCCTTGGGCTGAAGTTGAGCAAAAAATGCGAAGGTCAGTGATTTTAATTTCAACAAGGTCAGTCAATACCATGGCAATGAAATAATTTGTTTCTAATGCTTGACAAGAGGCTATTTCAATGCTACTTTAGTGATACTTAAACTGCATTATTTGTTACAGTCACAATATGTTTATTAATATTATTACTTTAACTAAGGAAGCATTTACTGTATATATAGCACCTTTGCAAGAAAGATCAAAACACTACATTAAAACCCATTTTTACACAGATAAAATCTAAGTATACAATGAAATATCAATTAGTACGATTGGCAAATAAAAACTACAACAATAAAATTTTCTACAAATATCCATTAAATTGCAACAATAAAACACATGAATCCACCGTTATTAATTTATGATACGATGCATTTTAATTCACATTTGAAGTAGTTGTAGTTGGTGCCAAATATTTCCTGCTGGAGATTGGTTAACATATTTATTTATTATTTTTATTATACATTATCAAATTGTACTGTGCAGGACTTTATTTACTTTGTAATGATCCTTCAATAGGTAACAGGAAATAGATACTTAAAATAAATAATAATACTGTATATTGGAGAATTTGTATACCTGTAATGTCTGTTAGAAAATATTGTTTGTCACTGGCGCTCTAAGATTAAATTTGTTGAAGAGATGTAACTTTTAAGGAGGGTATTAATGCATCAGTATCCGAAGTTGATCTAAGTTTACGTGGACAACTAACTGGGCATTCAGACTGTGTTCTAGGCAAATAATGTTCTCGGCACACATCAATTTTTGTAGTCTCAACGTAGTCTAATTGAATTTACGTCGAGCACAAAATGTTCCAGCAAGAACCTAGTTGAACCACGTTCTCGGAACAAAATGTTCTCGAATAACGACTCTGGAATGAAGTCTGAACATGTGCCGAGCATAAAATGTTATAACTCGGCGGGCTTCAGTGACGTGACCTGACCTGCTTTGACATTCTTCCGGGGCGCAATGTACACATGTTGTGAATAGTACGGCGGTACCACTGTTCTCTTGATTAATTTATACTGTAGGCCTAAATTTTTTGGAATAAAACAAAATGCCGGAAGCACATGGAGTGCAGTCGAAATTAATTGCTTAGTTTGGGGAAGAAGGGAGATAGAAACACAAAATACCTGCAAAGGATCTGAGAATGACATGATGTTGCTTGGGCCTAGCTTGGGTTTGGTTTAAATTATAGAAATAAAGTTAGGACTACAGTGACTCTGAGCTCCTCTCAAAATGTTACACATGCATAAATGCCAGGAACATGGTTTTATAATCTGAACGATCATGTTTTGAAAAAATTTTCATTCAGTGTGGTACAGTATGTGAACATGTTCCGAAAACATAAAGTTACAAATATATTTTATGCCGAAAACATAATCTGAATGCACCCATATCTTAACCAAATTTAACATAAGACCAAGTAACATTATTTCTAGTCTCACATTCCCACCCTTTATATCAATTTAGAAACTAAACGAAATTATGCTATTTAAAAAAAAAACCAATCACTTTTCCATGGGAAATAAAAAAAATGATGCAGAATACATTACAAAGATTCATATTTACAATTTATATTAATTACCAACTTGTTTACCATGGTGAGTATATAGGATGCTAAATAGCAAATAATAAAACCCTCACTAAAAAATAAGATTGGACATGAACTAATTTATTTGGCCTATAAATAACAATTTAATATAATTTTTATAAATGTTTCAACAGAGGTGGGAGATGCAATTTATGCTTCCATAACAATTGATATTTAAAAAAAATATGTAAAAAAAAAAATCCTGTGGTATTTGCATCCTTTTTTTTTGGAATTAGTGTTCAAAGGAGCGTTTCAAAAGGTTACACAGGATGTAACATTTCATACCGGAAAAGGGTTCGACACTGGGCCAACTGCATACTGAATCACTATTAATACTGTAGCAATATTGTGGCACTGTTTATAAATAAAAAGTAAAGCATAGCCAATGAGATTAAATAAATAAATAAATACACCGATCTATTCCCTCACTGCCCACAACTGTAGCTGATGCAGATTTAAAAGCAGCCACCCAACTCCGAACCATTAAAAAATATCCTGAATTTGAACTTGGTAATTATAGTCTAATATTTTACACTGTGTATATTGCCTTTGGTGTATCACCTCACAGCCTGGGGCATAATTAGTAACTGCTTGTTTTGACCTTCACAACTAAATAAAGGTCAGTTCAGGACTGGCAACTAGCTAGCTGAGGGTCCAACAACCAGACCTGGTCTGGTCAGATAGCATTTAAGTAGTAGGAATCATTATATAAATAATAGCCTAGTCCTACATTGAATATAAAAACCCACCCACCCAGCCTAGTACACCCATCCGTCGCATGTGAGCAAAATCCGTCCCTGCCAATATACTGATCAATCATCAACAGATTTCTGACAAATCTGAGAAGCGTCTGATTCTACAGGAAGAATTAGATTATAATCTTAATTCAAAAGCACATCATCATCAACGTATATAATCATAATGAGTCGGATTCTTCATACTAGGCCTAGCGGTAAGGGCAGCAGCAGTTTCAGACGGGGAGAAACAAGACGAAGTGGTGTGTTATAACCTATGGTTTCATTTTTACCCAGAAACGTAGGCCTAGAGGCCTGGCCTAGGATATGCCTACTTTGTTAGGAATTAGTTATTAAAATAATAAAACAGCAATTAAATTTAGCTCATACTTACAAAGGTCAATTAAAGCTCAATGAATCGCTCGAAGACAAGCTATAAGCTTAGTTATGTGAACTTTGCAGACAAACACTACTCCATCAAACATAAAACAAGATGAAGCAGACAACTAACACCGCAAGGTTTTGGTTAAGCCAATTGTGATGATGACACGGATGAATGAGCACACGTGTAGGGCCTATCTCTTCTAAAATAAACAAGAACAACTTGTGATTAACACTTTTTTACATTAATTTTAGTCCGAAGAAATTATTCGAATAAAGGTATTTGTGTCAAATGTAGGCGTAATCAAGGAGATAAAACAAAAAACACGTTACATTGTAAATCTACTGCTTATGTTAAGCGATACAAGGACGCTAAACAGCTTATTTATTAATAATTATGATTAAATTAATAAGTATTTTTAAGACTCAGACTCTGCAACCGTTTTCTTCATTTAATTAGAGTGCCCCGGTGATACACTAGTAAAACATCAAACTACTGTAGAATAAAGCTTTGACTCTTACTCATTGAATCACATAAGCCTAAACCAGGGACCGAGTTGTTTAACAAAAGCATAAACTGTTATCAAATTTTAGTGGGCCTAAATCAGGAATTAAACCATAACAATATAGGAAAGGTATACGAAGTAATTTTTCTATATCAGAAAAACCTATATCTTAACAACAAAGTATGCAGATAGTATAACAAAAACTTATTTTACGAGTTCTTTTGTTAACATGGTGTATATAAGTGCAATTGATTTTTCTTTTATTTTGTAACTTTATTATCAGGGAGTTGTTGGAGTTCGACACTATAAAAAATAACTTTCCATTTTCTCTTCAAGTTCCTCCCCCACCCCCTCCCCCGAGGTGGCGCCAGTGTTTATCCGATGGGGGGGGGGGCTCTGATGTCCCCGTCAGGTACCGATGTCCCACGAGGGCAAAGTAGGAGGGGAGGTTGCGCTGGCGCCAAAACTGGTCCCCCTCAGAGAGTCAGATGTTATACAAACTACCCTTATTGTAATACAGTAAAAGCAAAAAATAATGATGAAGCGAAAGTCAAATAGGTGGCGCTATACAAACAATTACATTTTCTGTCAAAACAAAATCTTGACCTGCTTTTGGCAAAACTGGAAAAAAACACAAAGTCGCATACAGTGGTGTATAAAATGAGTGATTTGGCTGGATTAAAATATATATTAGTTTATTAATTACAACCAAGTTAAACATCTTAATAAAATTATAATTGTGTCAAAATACACCTACAGACAGCCTTTATAAGTCAATGTCTAATTGGGTCTACTGGGGTGCGATAGGCCCTATATAGGCTATATTTTTTCATAGAGTTATATTGTTAATGTCGTTTTAATTATGATTTTGATTATTATTCAAATACACAAAATGTTCAACTTTATTCAAAACAAACTTCATTACATAAATTAATAACCTCTGACCTTTTCAAGCCGATGGAGAGGAATTCCATGTACGTGCGGTATGCCAGGCAGCTGTATTTGAGCTTTGATACGTCTCTAGCTCTCAATTTTGCTGCTACAAGCACGGGGAACCACTTCTTACGCTTTAACAATGCCTACAACAATGGAAGTGAGTATCCCAGGGCCCGGACCCTGGGGATTTCGTCTAACTGGAGGGAAAGACTTCAATCTACCGTTGCGTATTTCTAAGGTAAGGAAATTATTAATTTAGGTCTACATTTAGCTGACAACTTATAAAGACCCCCGATAAATCAAAAGATGACACCAGTACAAATAGATAGATAACCCGAAGCAACCAAGTAAAAATACACACATCTAAACTCGGAAAATGCCAAACCATTTTAGGTTTGAGCTCAGTAAATTTAGCATTTAAATTAGTACGTCACTGTCATAAAAGAAAACTTGAAAACGCAATTGCGCATAGGTCATGATATGACGTATAGGCCTATAGTTATTTTTTTTTTAGATAACTAGCATTACATCATTTAATAATTAAAACAATATTGATGACAATGATGATGGTGATGCCGATTGTAATGATGAGGATGATGATGGTGAAGATGATGATGATGGCGATGATGATGATAATGATGATTATAGTACTATTATAGCCCTATTTGTTGTTATTGTTTAGTGATTCTAGTGTTTTAAAGTAATTTTTATTTTTATATAATTTTGCAAACGTCTTGTAATTCAGCCTTAGAAAAGGCTGTGAACATGACATTAATAAAAAAAAAACTACTTAAAACTTGAATATAGCTATTCAATATGTTTTTTTTTTTAAATTTCATTAAAATATTTTTGTGTTATATAGGCCTACTACAATTAATGTTAGGGTATATTTTGCATAAACAAGGGTTAAATGAAAGACTAACGAAAGATTATTATATTTTTGTGTAATTGTATGATTATATTGGACATGCTTGACGGATAATATAATTTCAATATAATTCCGATGTCCTTTTTGTTCCCACAACTGCATAACGAGTGTAAAGCGCGTCCTGGATTGTACCCCTGGATGTGATAGATCAAGGGGTACTTTGAGAGGATTTCCTTAACAGAGGGCGCACTGGAAGCCTACTGAGCTGCAGTGCATAGCTGCCGTAGATGAGATCGCACTATTCTCTAGCAAAAATTGCCTCCGAAAAAAAACCAAAAAAAAAACTAGCAATACGTCAAAATGATTATAACATTCGCGAAAGTTGAAAACGCTGTGATTAAATTAATGTTACAGCGGCGTTAAATAGTTATGAACGTATGTTTCTAAAAAGGTTTTGAATACTCATTTCAACGTTGAATGCTATTGAGACTTTATTTTGATTTGATTTGTTTTTAATACCCACGAATTAATCTCTAATATGTAGGCCGGATTTGTTTACTTGCAGACTACACCGGGTGGAAAAGCTAATCAAGCGAAAATTTTACCAGGTGATATTGTTCGATCAATCAATGGAGAAAGAACTCATAACATGACACATTTGGAAGGGCAGACACTCATCAAACAGGCTAAAAGTTTGAAAATGATCATAGAAAGGTTGGTAAAGGAATAACCATAGCATTATTCTGTATGGTGTATTGAAGTGTAGACGTATGCAAAAGACTTGGTTGTAGCAGATAGAGCGTCTAGCGCAGTGGTAGTGGTTCAGCAGTTGCAGAAAATCTGTTGAAACTTTTTTTAGTTTGTACAATAAACTTTATATGTCTCTTCCCAGTCAGAAATATGGGTATTTGTAAGTATATAATATAGGCATACATTTTACTATGACAATCCTTAACGTGACTATATTAGCTAAAATGCTAGTGTGTGTGTGTGAGTATAAGGTGTGTAAGTATAAACATGTGAAAAGTAGTCACAAACTCAAAGCGTTTCTTTTGGTTATTAAGTATGTTCCTAAGAACGTGGTTTTTCAAATAACGATTTTTTTTTATGGCAGTAGAGACATACTTGACATTACAATTTGAATTTTATTACTGAACGAATTATATTAATTGCAACTGGCTTAGATCATTTTTAAACTTCAGATGTTTAAAAACGCTAAGTTTCTTGGTATTTCTCCTATCAAAATGTGCCAAACGCTTTTTAAATATGTAAATGAGCTTAAAATATTTTCAATCATGAAAAAAAAAATGTATTGAATGTTTTGTCAAAACATGACTTCACAATAATTCTGAAATATATCAATTTGACTTCGTGCGACAAGTCAAATTGATATGACACTCTACATTTTCTTGTTCTCATGTTCAATTGAAAACTAAAAACTTATGTAAATATACAAAATAAGTTATTGAAATGTTCGAGTTTATCTGCTGAATTCAGTAATTATAATCAACCAGTTGTTCATTACCATCAAACACAGGAAATTAATGTCTTTTTCACACTCATAACTTGTATCTAAATTTATAAATTTGTAACAGCATTCAAAGTTATTCATAATAGACCTTCAACTAATATTTCGTTTAAAAATGTGATTGTACAATTATTTTTACACAATACCGATGCATTACTATGAAGAGGCCACGTTTAAAGTGGTAAAACAAATTCGTAATCATTCAAGCGAGAAAGTGCTGTCTCTGCTGTTATTACATCGTTCCAAAGACTACTTGTATGCCTGAAGCCCTGTTCAGACTATCATATTTTATTTGGCAAAAACATGCCTAAATATGGTCATGATGACATCACATCATGACCATATATAGGCACACCATGATTATATATGGGCATAAAACAGATTTTTGTCAAAGACAATATGGACAAAGCTTAAAATAGTTCAAATTTCTCTTTTGTATATTGAGAATGCGCAGTATTGCACTTTTATTTCCATGTAATTTTACTTGAACTTTTGAACAGGGGTTCAGGGTTCACTTCATCACCACCTCCACCACCCATAGTACAGCTGAAACCATTGGAAACTAAAGAAAAGCATAAGATACCAATGGGACCACGTGAATATTTTCCAGCTGGAACTGTAGTTTACGAGACACCTGGCCATGTTTATGAATTGTCACCGACTACAAGCAGACAGGTACGTTATCACTGACTTCATTTAAAGTAGTACGTCATTCTTACTTTAGGTGGCACGCTGAAAGTTTTCACTGACGTCATGTAAGTAGTAATGACGTAGGTCCTACTGCTGATAGCCTATAGCAAATGAGACATTAGAATAATATAGAAAAAAAAAATAGTTAACTATCATTTATACAACGTTTTCTAAATTTTGAATTATTAATCGCTGTAACGCAATTGTTCAGTTTTTAAGCTCAAAATAAATAATATATATCGAACAATTTATTTTCAATTGTGATTAAAGATTCAAATAGCAATAATCGCCTCAAACGGTTGTAAAGAAAATAATAGCAAATGACAATAATGCTAAAAATAAATTTGCAAAATCAATAATCAAGAATAAAAATAACAAAAGCAGCAAACACGTAGAAGAACAAAAATCATGAATCAGTTTCATTATAAAGATAAGGGAATTTTAATGTAGCCAATAGAATATAGCGACAACTATGAGTATAATGAATATAGGCTATTTACAATACAGAATGTACCGTATGTAATCATTGACAAGCTTATAAGCATGTGTGGACTTTAAAAATTTATAAGGCAATCCTGTGGTTTTATTATTCTTTAGAAAGCAGCTATGTTTCCAACACCTCTTAAGAAAACTCCTACTCCACGTGCACCACCGATCACAAAGGTACCATTTCGTGGGACTGCTATGGGAGGAACGGCCACAGTGGTGCACAATCAATACAATTCCCCAATGGGTCTTTATTCGGCGAATAACATTGCTGACACTTTCAGAGGTCAAACTGAAGGAATGATCACAGGAGTCTTAGGAAAGTAAGTGATTTATTTTTTTATTCAAGAAAAGACCAAAACGAGTGGTAGAGTTTCTACTACAATATAAACCAATAAATACGGTACTCAATGAGAAATGGCCAGTTTGTCAAATCCCTGTTTGCCGAATTTGCCTAAACAAGTTTGTAAACAGGAGGAGTACTGTAAATTATGTACTTCACCACCCCTCCCCAACTTTGAAACCAAGTTTAACATATGCCATATTGCCGATGAAAATCAACTTGCCGAAAACTCACTTTTTCT